ATCAGCTCTCACGCCGAGAAGAAAGCCCCCCCTCTTCCTAATATCCCACCAACATGGAAAACAGGGCCTCCGCAACATCTGAGACCGAGTCACACAGAAACCTGCGAGGGTCCATTCGGCCTCGCTGCAATAAAAACACGGAGGCGCCCGTCGACTGCCTCGAGCTTGTTGTCACAGCCCCACAGATGTGGACGAGGAGGTGGAGGAGGAGGAGGAGCAGCAGAGGGAAAACCCAGTGTCTGTTAGATTCACTCTCTGACTTAAATAAAGAAGTGAATGTCAAACTCTATTGTTCCTCGATTTGGAAAGAAAAAGAGGAGAGAGAAGTTACGATGAGGAGCTTTACCTTTCCACAGGGGAGCTGAAGCCGCTCGGGGGCTCTGAGTTGCCATGTTCCGTGTTGCTGGACACTGCGATGCTCTGTGAATAGAAACGAGTAATGTGGAGGAGGTAAACATGGAGAAAGACTTTGATTCATTTTTTGGCACGAGATAGCAGCAATGAAACATTTTGTAATTCACGCTCCAGACATGGTCCAGACTGAAATATCTCAAACTCCATGATACCACGAAACCTGGTTGTGGATTTCATTTAGTTGATGTACTTCCCTCCCTGCAGCATTGCATTGACATCTTGCATGACATGTTATCATGAAAGCTGGCTACGTTGTGTGTCCCCGGGCAGGAAACTGTGATTGTTGTCGTTTTGAGGATTGCGTCAGCACCGAGCGTTGGGAACACCCATCGTTATCATTAAACTTTTCACAGAGCAACAAAATCCGTCCATTATTTTTGTTTATTATTAAAAATGCTTTTTATTGTGGCCACTCACCGAGGGGAAGCGCAGGGCCGGGATGGGGACACCGCTAACAGTCGGGGAGTCAGCGTGCATGGTGGGAGGGGTCGCGGGCGTGTTGAAGGTGCCGGTCTCCAGCGGATCCTGGAGCCCAGAGGAGCTCAGATAGCCATCCGTCTCGCAGTCAGCTGTTTCAACAAAGGATATAAATCATTAGCATGTGATCAACTGTGTGGCCTGATAGACCGACACAGACTGAACCATGCACACAGGCAGGGCAGAGGGAAATGATCCAGAACTGAGACATGCCACACAAACGCATAAACAATGACAATGACACCACTGTGCACCGTTCTGCAGACACACACAGATGTTTGGTTCATTTACACCAGATCTGACGGTTTCACTCCAAATCTCCAGAGAGAGAACACTCAGCATGTCGTGAGGATGAAAACAGAAAGATTCAATATCTACAAACGCACCTATGGGTGTTCGCCCATATGCGCAAATTTCACTGTAGGCCTCCACAAATCCAGTTGAGGTCAAAGGTCAACGTCATTTATCCGATAGTTACCAGTTACTTATGGGATTCTAATGTTCTTTTAAAGTTATGATTGGCTTTATAAAACATAATAAACTGCTATGGGTTAATTCAACCAGTTATAAAATGAAAAAAGCCATATTGCATAATGACTTTTAGTTATTTTGATCCATTAAGTACATTTTGCTCATCTCACCTAAACGTTTACTAGTTTTTATATTAAGTTTATTGCTTTTCTTAAAGTTAAGGATTTAAACCACTCTTAAAAATGTCACCATGCTTGGAAATGAAGGGCTTGTGATTATCCAGAGCCATTTTGATAAAAGTACTATTGAGAAACAATCTTGATTTGAAGTTGATGACTGGATTGGTTTTATGAGAATCAGCACACGGGATGTGACATGAGGCTCCTCACAGTTAGCAGAGGACAGGCTGTTGTGACGGATGTGGAAGTGCTGGTCTGCCTCGGGCTCCTCTGGTTCTGCCGGGTAGTTGGAGCTGACTCCAGAGTCTGCAGAGCTTGTGACGGGGGCCGGAGGCGTCAGGGCCGGGGTGGGGGACTCCGCTGCCACAACCTCTCTGACTTTGGGTGAAAAGAGCTGAGGCTCGGGTTCTTCCTCTATGGCTTCTTGCTCCTGCTTCTTCCTCTTCTTCTCCTCCGCCTGCCGCCTCAGCTTCTCTCGCTGCCGCTTGATGGTCGACACCCTGTCCCGTATGGCCTTCGCCACCAGCTTGAAGTCCGCTTCGCACACGAAGCCGAGCACGACCTGAGTAACAACACACAAAAAATGGTCAGGGCACAACACGAGCGAGCGTATACGTCATGGTCCGTGGTGTGCCGCTGCAAGATGTAGACAATTTACACAGATCTGTTGCACTCAACAACCTGAGCACGCAAACTGTGACATCGGCAGCCAGAGTTTGATTTTATTTCAGTCTGACGGGTCGTCGTCTTTTCACAGCTTCTCGTGACAACAGAGCGGGATACTCAGTCTGAACACTCAGCACATAGTCAGATTACAGCAGCACGCCAGCACTAGATGTCCCCTCACTGATACCAAATTTGATCTTGATGAAAACAGCCCCAAAGAGATAAACAAGTGAGGAGTTGTGGCTCGTATTTTCATTAAAACTGACCTCTGCGGAGGGGCTCTGGAGGACATAAGGGCCAAAACAACCAAGAGAGCCATTATATTATGAAAGACGTGACCCTGCTTCCTCAGACACACTCTCACATTTCGAACTGATGATTAAAGGTTGAGCCGCGTGCCCTTGACACTCTCGTCAAGGCTTTCTCTTTATGGCCCGCAGCACATCTCGATGTTCCCGCTGTCATCACAGAACCGTAAAAGCAGCATAATGGGCATTAGCGATGCTGCCTTCACTGTCTGGGGTCAAATGGACGATCACACGAGGCAAACTTTTTATTTCTCTGATGATGTGAGAATCTGTGATTTGGTGTCAGCATCCCAGATAACAGGATATATCAAAACAAAACCATTTAAATGTGGTTTCGTAAGGAGACTGTGGGGCCTTGGCTTAGTTTTATACTCTGCAGTTTTCTGAATATTATTGCTGTCGAAGTAAAATAACTCATTAAGATAATGAGTCTACTTCAAGCATCTTATTACTTTTTTTTTTAAAGCATCCAGATGAAAATTCTTTTGTGAGGAATCAATTGGAGCTTAATTGTTCTAAAAACAATAGGGGGTGGTGCCATATACCCAACCATGTTCCTCAACAGAACCTATAAAAAGCTATTATCATAAATCAAGACCAGGATGCAGAGAACATGTGGGGGTTGGATGGGGCCGCCTCTATCTCATGATCTGGAATCAATTATTCAATTTCCTCACTAATGGCTGCAACAAACTGGATCAGGAGCAGCGGGCGGTAAAGCCGTGAAGGTTGACCCACCATCTCCTGAGCCACCTCCTCGGGCACGTCTTTGTAGAGCTCGAACAGGAACTCGATGGCGTTGTTGTCCTTGTACTTCCCGTGGAGCTTCTTGGTGTCGTCCATGCGCAGCCACAGCTTCAGGCCCGACTTCACCGTGTCATCCTCCTCCGCCAGCTCCACATGTACGCCGTTGTTCTCCTGGAAGAAGGGGTGTTCCAGGAGGTCCTGGATGGTGTACCTGCAGGAAGAGAAGTCATTTACTCCTCGACGCTTTGGCGGATTCACGGACAGATTCCAAAACCTTCCGTAAAAACATTCAGCTTCTCAGATCGGGGTTTTTTGCCTGTGAGAATCGTGGCGTGAGCCCACAACAGTAAAAATATGATAAGAACAGGAAGCTTTACACAAAACATGTTGTCTATCAGGTTGCAACGACCTTGTCTCTCTTACTTACATCAGGACAATCAGTGTAAAATAAAGTGAACACAGCTTGAGGTACACTGGGAGATTCCAGTTTTTGCAACAGAGAGTTTTTGAAAGCTTAAACTTTCAAAATAAACTTCACAGCCTAAATTGGTGTGTGTTTACAGCTGCAGGAGAATAGTTGCTCTAACTTGAAACGTTTGTCCTGATGTAGAGATCGTACAGATGATAGAGATTCAACATTTTAGTAACATTTAAACCAGAAAACAGCAGACAAATCCCCTGACCTGCCTCTAAACACTTTACTCTCAACACATGCAGTATTTTGTTCAGTTTAGCTAATTCAGAGGATTTCTGCTTTATCAGCACAAAACAAAAGTCAAGATAACAGGAAAACATCCAAATGTACGTTCTTTTATTTGTACCTCTCGTCTTTGTTCATACGAATGCAGCCCTCGATGATCTCCTTCAGCTCTGGGACTTTGACTTTGTAGAAACTGTCAGGTTTTATCCCCTGTAAGAGAAATCAGAGGAGGGGTTAGATTCGATCAGACTGATGCTTTGAGCAGAATAAGACACCAGCAATAATGACAATGTCATCTCTGTACATTTATCCCGTGCAGGTCTGGAACAAAGCAGCCGCTCCCACCAGCACCTCGTGCTAACGTCCTCTTTTGCTTTGAGACATCTGCCACTCGCCAGCATGACATTCTGCTCTGCAGTCATGTCAACACTGGAGGAAAACACTACCACAAGTTCAAGAACATGGAAAAACCCCACGATGTGATAACTGAGAGGAGCCTCAAGCTACATGAAAAAAGAGGGAGGTTTTCTGAACGCTATCATGAGCGTAGATGACAGCGGAGCTCCAGTCCCTGTAAAAACACTGATAAGGCAGCGAAGAACCAAGGTCAAGGAGAAGTTTGTCGTGCAGATGCCTAAACAACCAGCTGGTGTTCGCTCGAACCACCCAAATAATTAGATCTGTCCATAAACAGGCCCGAGCGATACATCTCGCTATCACATTCAAAGACCGACATGTCGCACAGTAACCACATTCTTTTATTTTGTTGTGACCAAAAGAAACGATTACTGTGCAGAATTACTGCTGCGTTACATAATATTTACCTTTACCTATATATGTGTATATATATATATATACCCCACTTAAAGAACAACTATACGTCCCTGCTACATCAGTGAGTGCCAACACAATCACAAAATGCTGTTATCATGGTGAAATGTGATTTTGAGGATGTGAAGAGCGGCACAGAGGATTCTTTGTTGAGGCTGTGTCCTCAGTCACCTTCAGAATGAATCAGCTTCTCAAATCTAATAATGCAGCTCCGCACCTTTCCTGTGGTGACAGAGGTCGAGATAAGATCTGGAGAAAAATGCCGGTTTCTTTGACTTTGTTTGGTGAATCACATTTCACTTGATCAGGGAGAAAATTGATTAATCTGTTCATTCAAGTACAAAACCAAATCAATTATCTGACACAAATATTAGAATAAAGCACGGTTGTGGTTTAGTATATTTTTTGGTCCAGGGCTATTTTTCAAAAACTGCTTGCCCTTTAGAGTTTGCTGCTATTCTTGGACACACGATAATAAAGTGAAAGTCTCTGGGTTTTATTCTGTCTGTACAGTTTGAGCTGTTTGCACATGTTCCTATTTTCTGATTTTCTGAAGTTTGATGACAGATTCCAAAAAGCTGTGGAAAAAAAAAAAAACTTCTCGGAACATTATTGCAGTCGATTAAAGGGAAAGACATGTTTAACTATCACACATGGGTGTAATTGTCCACATATATTTTTGGCAAAACAGTACATATGAGAAGAAAACAAGGTTCTTTAATGTATTCCTATATTTATTTATCTATTCATTCGAACTAGGTATTAAAAGTCTGCGAGTCCACATGAATGTTTCCATTAACCGTGTTCTGCTCCTCATGCGTCAAGCTCAGGCTCCTTAATAGACTTCAATTGACACATGTCGTCTGCATTTAAACCTAAAACGTAAACAAATTGTGAAAAGCACAGCTAATATGATATTGGTTTCCCCGACTGCAAATGGAACGTTATTATGGCGTCGTGTTTGTGGAGCGGCCAGACGCACTCCGGCTTGTTGGCATTGTCGTGTTCTCACCTCCGAGCTTTCGTCAGACTCTGTTTGCTTTGCATATGCGACACTCGAGAAAGAAACTGCCCTCTTTGTAAAGGGAAGCGTGAGACACACTTTCCAAAACATATAATTCTACCGTCGCCTGATTCTGCCCACCATGGCATCACCGCTGTACCTGGCAGCTTGAAATACAGCAGCCTGGAGCCACCGCTGTAATGCTTTTAAATCTCACGACTGTGTTCCTGGACGTTCTTTCCTCTCCAAGAGGTTCCACATGTCTGTCTCTCTGTTAAACTTTGTGATTTGGTCTGAATCTTACACAGCTTTATGTACGATAAGTGAGTTCTGGGCTTGGATTAAAAACTTTCCTCAGCCTTAGTCAGACATTATAACATAAAAAAAGTTTGATTTCCTAACAAACCTGTCATTTCTCAGAATATTTGTCTGCAAGGCTTAACAAAGAGCTTCGAGAGAAATTCTGCACATGTCAGCGTTGATATGTTACGTCAGTTTTTCCATTCGAGCATCATTTCCAGCGGATGCAATATCCAGAACCAGTAAGACAGGATCTTTGAACTGGTAAAGACGCCGGCAATCAAACCTATGTGATCCTGCTAATGAAAGAGAAAAACATTTAGATCCTCGTGGCACGGTTCTGCACCCTGAGCCTTAATCTGAGCCTTTAATAGTTATAGTCCATTAAAGGTTTTCAGTCCATGTGGGCCCCACTTGTTTCCAACGATTCAGGATATCCACACGTAGACACCAGATATCCTGGTTCCTCTATAATTCCAATGTGAACATGGAACAAAACCAACACATGTGGACAATTACATTATTAAACAAAATTAGCCGGTCCCTCTCCCCCCTTTACTCACGCTGGTGACTTTGCGGTAGATCTGGGCGGCGTTTTGGCACTCGGAGTACGGGTACTCAGAGGTGGCCATCTCCAGGATGCACATTCCGAAGGCGTACACGTCCACAGCCTCGTCGTACTTCTCCTCGTACATTTCTGGGGCCATGAACTCTGGTGTTCCTGTCAGGGCAGAGGTGAAATGCTGTTAATATAAAAAATTTAAATACTGAGTGAAGCAGCTTTAAAATATGGTTTCTACATTGGG